GGGTTCGCCCCCCGGTCTGGGAGGATCCCGCGTGCCGCGGAGCGGCTGGGCCCGTGGGCCATGGCTGCTGAGCCTGCGCGTCCGGAGCCTGTGCTCCGCGTCGGGAGGGGCCGCAACAGTGAGAGGCCCGCGTACCGCCAAAAAAAAAAACAAAAAACAAACAAACAAAAAAAACACATCCTTTCCTCCTGGCCTGTCCAAACCCCCCCATCCCCCAAAACAACTCAATATAACCACATGATTAATTCAACATGGGGCATAAATTTCTTTTACTATTTTATTTAATTGTGGTATATGTATATAATTTTGCCATTTCAACCATTTTAAAAGGTACAATTTGGTGGCATTAATTACATTCACAATACTGTGCAACTATCATCACTATTTCCAGAATTTTTCATCATCCCAGACAGAAACTCAGTACCCATTAAGGGATAACTCCCCATTTCCTCCTCTCCTCAGAGCCTGGTAACTTCTAATCTACTTTCTATCTCTATGAATTTACCCTAATTCTAGATATTTTATATAAGTGGAATAATACAGTATATGTCTTCTTGTGGCTGGCTTGTTTCACTTGATGTAATGGTTACAAGGTTCACTCATGTTGTGGCATGTATCAGAACTTCATTTTTTTAATGCAGTGGCTTAATTTTACATTTTAATTGTTCGCATTAAACAGCTGCTTGGTAGAGGAAAACTGAGGTAAGGCAAATAAATTCACTTCATTTTGCCATCAAACAAGGACTGCTTTTCAACTCCCCTCACCAGTTAATCCATCTCAACTAATTAAACAGATAACTGCATTCTCAAAATAGCCAACAAAGCAAATTAGCCCACATCTACCCAGACCAAGAGCTATAGTCAGTACTCTGCTCATCACCTGTCCTAGATTTCTCTAGCATCGACAGTCTCTGCTCCCTTGGAGCCTTTTGCCCGGCTTTCTGATGCAGCCTGCCCAATCCTGAAAATATCTTTCTAGGACTCTGCTTCTGTCTCAAGTATTCATCCCCGTAAGGGAAGAAAGCAGTCTTTTTCCTCTCAATCCATCTTAAATTCTCAGGCTGGGGCCCTCTAATCAGACTAACAAACGGCAGACTAACAAGAGAAAAGCAAACAAGTTTATTAGCACGTGCCACACACACACACACACACGTACCAAGAGATGAGTAACGCAAAGAAGGGGTGGTTAGAACTAGAGCTTACTTAACATCTTTTTTTTTTTTTTTTGGCCGCACTCCACGGGCCCTCTAATTAGACTAACAAACGGCAGACTAACAAGAGAAAAGCAAACAAGTTTATTAGCATGTGCCACACACACACACACACACACACACACACACACACACACACACACACACGAGTACCAAGAGATGAGTAACGCAAAGAAGGGGTGGTTAGAACTAGAGCTTACTTAGCATCTTTTTTTTTTTTTTTTTGGCCGCACTCCACGGTTTGAGGGATTCTACATCCCCGACCAGGGATTCAGGGATTGAACCCGCACCCTCAGCAGTAAAAGCGCAAAGTCCTAACCACTGGACTGCTAAGGAATTCTCTTACTTAGCATCTTAACAAAAGAACAATAATTTTTTAGAGAAGTGACGAGATTTTGAGCAAAAATGACGTTGAGTTTCTAGGGTGGTAAATTTTGTAAAGGTAAACATTTGGGGAAACTAATGGAAGATAAGGGCTAGTTAGTAAAGTTTGTTATATAGCTTCCGCTGGTGCCATCTCTGGGATGAGAAGTTGTCTCCATTGATTAACTTTTGTCCTTCCTGGTAGAGAGAGGAGGGGGCACACCTTCACAAATTTATGTCCTACTTTTAGGCAAATAGGGGGAGGACAGAGAGCTTTTCTTATATCTGCTTCTCCTCAGTTGTCTTCAGCTCAAAACAATCCTTAAGCCCAGGCGGCATATTTTGTGCTGGCACATTCTGCGACCCTACAATCCTCTCTCTCACAAGCTTTCTCAAAAAAAAAATTGCTATTGCCTCTGCTTGATAAATTTCAATCTGCAGGGGTTAAAATACTGGCCTTGGAGCCAGAACTGGCCTGAATCTCTGCTCCACCACTTACCAGTAGTCATATGACCTTAAACCAATATTTAATCTCTGTAAACCTGCGTTTCCTCACCTGTAATGGAAAGGATTATCTCAGATTGGGCTGCTATAACAAATTACCATAGACTGGGTGGCTTAAACAAAAAACATTTCTTTCTCACAGCTCTGGAGGCCGGAAAATCCAAGATCAAGGTGGCAAAAGAACCAATGTCTGGTGGGAAACAAGCTCTCTCCTGTCTCTCTCTTTTTTTTTTTTTTTCCATTTTTTGGCCATACCATGTGGCATGTGGGATCTTAGTTCCCTGACCAGGGATCGAACCCATGCCCCCTGCAGTGGAAGCACGGAGTCTTAACCACTGGACTGCCAGGGAAGTCCCTGTCCTGTCTCTTCTTATAAGCACTAACCCCACCCTGAAGCTTCCACCCACCTAATTACCTCCCAAAGACCCTACCCCCGATACCATCCCACTGGGTGTTAGGTTTCAATGTATGAATTTGAGGGGGACACCAACATGCAGCCCGTAACAAAGATTACATGAGATAATAAATGTAAAGAACTCACCACAGTATGTGGACTATAGCAGGTAATCACTAAATTATAGTTATTCTTATTATTAGAACCCAAGTCTCCAGTTAAATTCTTTTCAAAAGTCACCGATGATTTCCCAATTGCCAAATCCAATGGCCTCTGTGGTAGGTTGTATAATTGTTCATAATTATTCACCTCTTCTTCCTGAAGGAAGATTATACTGTCTGCCCTGTTAAACATAGGAGTGGCATGTGACTTGCTTTGGCTAATGGACATGTGTAACATCTAAGGAGAAGCTTTAATTTAAGAGCTAGCTTGTGATTCACTGTCTTGCTTTTCCCCTGCCATATTCCAGATTGGGGCACTTTGTCAACCCAATCCTGGAGTGAAAATGACATGGAGCAGAGCTATGGCCCATGCACAATAGACACGTAGCATGTATGAGAAATAAACTTCATGGTTGAAAGCCACTGAGTTCATCCCTAGCCTGATAGAGTGTGAATGCACTGAAACTGTTTAGCTCTTGCTTCCATAAAGCTAAGTACCAACCTATGTCCTACTGACTTCATCAAAACTCTTCCTAAGTAGTCAACTGATCTCCCCACACAACATCTATATTAGCCTCTCTCTACTTTAACACCATCGTTTTCTCAACTAGGGTCCCATAGTATGAAAGTGAGTTGTCCCAATAACCCCTTGCCTGGCAGCGCCTTCATTATAAGCCATCAAAAAAACTTGCACTTAAAGAATGAACTCAAGGATGACTACAAATCTTTATTTTGAGTAACTGAGTGAGCGGTGATCCATGTACTGAGATGGGGAGCACCGGGAAAGAAGCAAGTTTGGAGGAGGAAGTGAGTTCATTTGACCACATTAAGTTGGCAATGCCTATTAGCTACCTAGATGGAGCTGTTGGGTAGGCAGTTGGCTATAGGAGTTAGTTTAGAGACGGTACTTAAAGCCATGGAACTGAATCAGCTCATTTAGGGAGTGAATGAAGATAAAGCAAAGAAGGCCAAGGATTGAGTGCTAGGACCCACGAAGGAAGACCACCAAGGATGCTGAGAAGGGGGCAGTGAAGAGAAAGAGAACCAAGAAGGAGTGGGTGTCCCAGAAGACAAGTGAAGAAATATTTCAAGAAGGAAATGTTGACCAAGTGTCAAATACTGGTGGGAGGTCGTGCTAGATGAAACTCGAGAATTAACCATTAGGTTTCGTATCATATAGTCATTGGTGACCTTCACAAGGGCAGTTTCCATAATGTGGTGGGGATGAATGCCTAAGAATTGACTGAATGCCTAGACAACTCTTTTTTTGTTTTTTGCGGTATGCGGGCCTCTCACTGTTGTGGCCTCTCCCGTTGCGGAGCACAGGCTCCGGATGCACAGACTCAGCGGCCATGGCTCACGGGCCCAGCCGCTCCGTGGCATGTGTGATCTTCCCGGACCGGGGCACGAACCCGTGTCCCCTGCATCGGCAGGCGGACTCTCAACCACTGCGCCACCAGGGAAGCCCCCCTATATCACTTTTAGTGTATAAAGAAAACCTCTACCAGAGCTCTGATCCCCTACCTCAACACACAAACAGACTTCCTCCTGGGAAGCTCTTGGCCGGGATGAAGTTACTGATTCATGCCTTTGCCTAAACCAATCACTATTAAAGGGAAAGAAACCACTGACAACCTCAGGCAAACATGATTCATTTTTCTGTGGGTGGGAAGGGAGTAGCCTTTTTTGAGTGCATGAATAAGCAAAGTGAAATTTAGAACAAAATTGAGGTTTTGCCAACAGAAATAAGAAGGGGAGTAATTACTGAGCAGATAATCACCACAGTCTACGGCCATGTATGTAGAATATATCATCAGACATATATTTTTTAAACCTAATGGGCATCTCTTTATACCCAATTTTATTTGCCTGATTGCTAGTGAAGTTGAACATTTTCTCATATACCAGCCAATCAGTTTTCATTTATGTGAATGGTCTGATCATTTCTTCTGCCTACTTTAAATGAACAGCTTCTCATTAATTTATAGGATATATATACAGAAAGAGAGAGAGCTCTATATAGATACAACTCTATTTCTATGTATAGTATATACTATATACTGGATACCACTATACTGGAGAAATCTCTAGATAGATAGACGATAGATAGACCTGTCAAAAAGTGTTAACTTTATCAACAGGGAGAAGTTTAATGTTTTGGGATAATTTGATTCACTTGTCCCCAGTGTACTTTGATTCCACAAATGAACGTTTATCATCTGTGATGTTTGAGTGTGAGGAGGAATAAACAAATACTAGAGTGAAAAAAAAGTGCTTTCTGTCTTCAAAGAGTTTAACAAAGATCTTGAGTGCAAGTCAGGCTGTGAAAAGTCCTCTAGAAGGTATAATCAAAATGCTTCGTGGAATTCCCTGGTGGTCCAGTGGTTAGGACCAGTGCTTTCACTACTAGGGCCCAGGTTCAATTCCTGGTCGGGGAACTAAGATCCCACAAGCCAAGACCGGGCCAAAAAAAAAAGTGCTTTGGAAAGAGGTCAGAGAATGTGCTTTGGCCGGGGGAGAGGAGTCAGCTCTATGGAAGGGGAGTGCAGGATAGCACAGGCAGAGACCCAGAAGAGGCCATGAGAGGAGATGGTGCTGGAAGTGGCGAATACACTATCTTTACCAGACAGAAGGTGTTGGCTAGGATGGAAGAGTTGTCCTGCCAGTCTGGCTGGAATGTGGAGTCTGAGATGGGACATAAGGCTGGAAAGGTAGATTGGGGCCAGTGTTCAAGTTTGGGGTTGTCTATCTGAGGAACCATGGATCTGTCTCGGAGGTTGGCATGGCATTAATAAGGATAAACACATCATTATCCCTAATCTTGAAGCAAACAGATCTTTTTGCCCACACAAAATGGAAAAAAAAAAAAAAAAAAGACATCTTAAAAAGCATTAAAAGAGGATTCCCTGGCGGTCCCGTTGTTGGGACTCCGTGCTTCCACTGTGCCGAGCGCCCAGGTTTGATCCCTGGTCAGGGAACTAGGATCCCACAAGCGGGCATGGTGTAGCCAAAAAATAAAAGAGGCATTAAAAAATGTTCAGTGTTTGTTGTGGTTTGTTGTGAAAGAGTCTATTCCTTCCATTATCACCTCTTGTGTCAGCATCAATTCCCCTCCCTCCTTGGTTACTGGCTCCATCGCCTCAGGAAAAATATGCAGATTTTTTTTTCATCTTCAAATAGTTTCACCCAGCCCTCCCTAGCAATCTTCTTATCTTCAGAGATGGGCCTTAATAGGCAGAAAATGAATTCTTTTGAATGAGTGAGTAGTTTGAAGTTGCTGCTTTCTCAACCATGGAATCTCCTTTCAGCCACTTTTATTTTGCTCTTTCTCCCTACAAATCTACTAAAATTGGAATCTCAAAAGTCCCCAATAACCTCCTGGGAAAGAAAAGAACAGCCCTGATGTCTGAGAATGGATCTGAGGCTCACAGCTGAACCATATCATTCTCCTGTTGGACAAAAATCTCATAGATTTAGACAAGGTCACTGTGCAGCACAAAATACCAAACATCCCCTCTCTTACTGCATGAGTTAATGCTGCTTCTTTACCAGTTATTAGTAATGAGGGTTAGGGGAGCTGCCGCCCCACTGCAATACCCAGTCATAGAATTGCCCCCTGCTTTCTGCTATCAGTCTACAGCCAACCGCTGCTTCCTGAGACCCTCCCCAAAGATACCCATTGAAAGCCCATATCCTATAATAGGTTCTGTCAGAAAGAACTCTTACTAACACGCCCCATAACCTCTACGTCACTCCTCACCACCACCAAGCAATAACCCACCTTGTTCAAAGACAGAGATTCCTGTGGTCCTTGGCTGAAGAACACTGACACTGCTGTGAACTTTCTTCTGCCTTTAGGCTCAGTGGCCTAAGACCCTTTTCTCTCTCTTCCTGGAGCTCCTTCCCCACGACTTTACTTCTATTCTGTCCCTTTCCTCCGAGGCCTTCGCCCTTTATCCATCCCTTAAATGTGGGCATTATTGATGCTCTGGCCTCTTCTCTCTCTTCACACTCCTTGTCTTAAGGGTCATGGATATACTTGTGGCTTTAACTATGATGTCCAGGCATGTAATTCACAAATCTGTCTCCCTAGCCCTGACTTTTCTCCCAAATTCCAGCTTTTTTATTTCCAGATCCCTACTGAGACCACAAACTCAACATGTCCAAAACTTAGCATCTGCTCCCTTTCAAGCAGTTTCTGTCTTGGTACTTTATAATGGTCTTTCTATTAATGGTTTCATCCTTCTCCCAGTTCTCATGCTGGAAAGGTCAGGGCTAGTTTTGACTCTTCCCTTTCCCTCAAGCCCCAAACTCAAATCAGTTCACAAATTCTGCAGATTCTTCTATTGCAAATTTTCTTGCACCTGTTCCTTTCCATTCCCACTACCACCACCCTAGTCCAGGCCCTTTATGAACTCACACAAAGACAGTCTCAGCCTCACTGCTCATCCCCACCCAAGTCTCTACTTTTTTGCTATTTCCACCTTCATCTTCCAATCCCACTTTGATGGCATTTCCTCCTTTCACAGTCTTCAATGATTCCTTATTGCTAATCTTTCCATCCATTTATCAAGGTCCTCTCCAAACATCACAACCTAATTTTCTAGTGTCATCTTCCACTACTCCCAGTCATTCAATTCAACAGTACTGGGCACTGCAGTAAACAGGAGGAACACAGTACAAAGATATGTAGCGCGTGCTCCCTGGCTTTGAAAGGAGCAAAGGACAGGTACACGGACAAATACTTAATGGCAATGCACAAGTGCTGTAATAGATGGATAAGCTTTCTTGTAATTTAAGAAAATAAAACTGTATCAGTCAAAGTTCTTAGAGAACCACTGGAAATTGACATGGGCTAATTTAAGTCAAAGGAATGGTATACTATGTACGGTACCTCACACAATTTTGGGAGGGCTGGTGACCCAGGTTCAGAAGTTAGGCAGCCAGAGCCACAATGGCCAAAACCATGACTCTGAAATGGGCCAGTGAGGTCAGCATTGCTGTCATGGTGTTGTAATCACTGTAGCTAGAAACCAACATGGCAGGCAATGGGACTGCTGCCAGGCTGCCCCTTGATACTATTGCCACAACTGCCATCACTTGCCACTAGAATGGATTCTCCTATACCTGTTTCTTTGCACCACTGGTTTCTGAATAGTCAGGAATGGGTGCATCTGATTGGCCAAGCCTATGTCATATGCCTCCTCCCTAGCTGCAAGGGAGCCTGAGAAGTCACGCACCTAGCCTTTTTGGGTTCTATGTGGGGAGTTGGGCTTTGTCTCCAAGGCTCACAAGGTTGGCATTCCCCAAACTTATGGAGTCTTGAGGTTGAACAGGCAAAAAGGACAAATGTCTACTTACACAACTTACAGAGAAAGAACTTTAAAGGGGAATTCTCTGCATAAAAATTTTATGTAAAATCTAGATTTAACCCCAGCTCTACCATCCACCACTTTTTATTTTTTGAAACTGCTCCTAACACATTAAATAGCACTTAAAATATACTATATAAAACCCAGAAATGACTGTATACAATTATTCTTACCTTTAAAATGTTGACTATGGTCTTGATTGATGAATCAACATGCTAAATTACTGTATCAATGGTAATGGCAATAAAAGGGTATTTCTTAGAGTAGGGCATAATGGAAATCTTCTATATCCACCTCTTACAGCTCTTCATTTATATCCAGGAAGTCAGATTCACGGAAAGGTTCAAGCAGAGTTTGTTGAAGACCTGAAAATCCTGCCTACCATTTTTCAAAAAGGTTAAGGATTAAAATGTTGGCTCTTTTTTATACTATAGATCCTAGCATCAAAAATCACACAATAACAAACCTTTGTCCTCTTGCAGCCAAAGTTACTGTATGATATACCAGGAATATTATGAAACTGAAATAGAGAATATAGAAATGATTGACACTAAGTAGAAAGTGACATACACAAGGTGAACACAGAGTGTAGACCTCGTATGTGACAAGGTGTTATGGGAACACATAATACATGCATAAGACCACAAAAGAAAAGTCTTCGCAAAGCTGGTTTTAGTCAAGCCCTGTAAAATGAGTAGATTGCTGGTAGTGTGTGTGATTAAAGGTGACCACAAATTGACCACTCCTCCCACTGAGAGCCGAAGTCCAATTCACTCCCTCTTAAATCCTTTGTGACTTGCTTAATTGATAACACTTAGCATTAGTGACATTCTAGAACTTCCAAGGTTAGGTCACAAACCTTGCAGCGGCTGCCTAGGAAACATGGAACAATCTCTGGGAGCCCTGAGCTTCCATGTAAGTCCATTAACTCGGAGACGACCATGCTGGAGAGGCCACATGTGGGCAACCCTGGTTGACAGTCCCAGCTGAGGCCAGCCTTCCAGTCAGTCATCCTTGCCCAAGTGCCTGACACGTGGGTGACTGTTTTAGACTCTCTAGACCAGCCCATCCTCCAGTTGACTACCACCAAGTGATTTTTATCAACATCAACAGAAGAATCATCCTTGCAAGCTCAGTCCTGCTCCAATTCCTGACCCACAAAATCATGAGATATGATGACTGCTATTTTAAGACACTAAGTTTCCAGGTAGTTTGTTATGTGGCAATATATAACCAGATCATGAGGTTCACAAGTGGGGAAGAATATTCCATACAAGGCTATCACATACTCTTGCGCTCCAACCAAGTTGAGCTCTATCATTCCCCACGGATACGTGGCCCATGTCTGACCCGCTGTGCCTGCCCCACGCTCTGACCTCCTGCACAACCCCCAAATTCCAGATCTTACCTGACCTCTTTCCTTCTTATAGTCTTCTTCAGTTCTCCCAGCAAAATGGTACTTTCTGCCTTCTCTGAACTTGTATACTTCCACCTCTCCAATGCCTCCCTAGGGTGGCACTGTCCCATTTTCCTCCAACAGTACAAATCTGTGTCTACTGTCCCAATTAATTAACGGTGGCCCCCTCACTCCCCAAAGTGTCCCATCCTAGTCAATAAATCATACAGTCACCCTGTGCTTAACGCACTGCTTTGAACTGCAGTTAGTTGTATAGAATTTTTTCTCCTATTCTGGATTATATGGTTATTCAAAGAAAGCAAGTACCATGTCTTTCCTTCAATAAACATCTACTGAGCACCTACAATGTGCTGCCTTGTGTGTCTGTACCTTCCTCAGTGCCTTGTGGAATGGAGGCGGCAAAGGGTCAGATCAGCTCGCGGGCTGGACTGAGCCGAGAACTGATGAGAATGAAGACTGACCCTTGGAAAAGGTTACTTCCAGGTTGGTTTACTCCAGAACCAGAAAAAAATCAGTGCAGAGGGTTCCTGAGATAAAAAACACATGGTGTGGCCTGGAGGGGTGGGATAGGGAGGGTGGGAGGGAGGGAGACGCAAGCGGGAAGAGATATGGGAACATATGTATATATATAACTGATTCATTTTGTTGTGAAGCTGAAACTAACATACCATTGTAAAGCAATTATACTCCAATAAAGATGTTAAAAAAAAAAAAAAAAACACATGGTGTGGACTTCCCTGGTGGCACAGTGGTTAAGAGTCCGCCTGCTAATGCAGGGGACACAGGTTCGAGCCCTGGTCCGGGAAGATCCCACGTGCCACAGAGCAACTAAGCCCGTGTGCCACAACTACTGAGCCTGCACTCTAGAGCCCGTGAGCCACAACTACTGAGCCCGCGTGCCACAACTACTGAAGCCCACGTGCCTGGAGCCCGTGCTCCACAACAAGAGAAGCCGCCACAGTGAGAAGCCCGTGCACCGCAACGAAGAGCAGCCCCCACTCACCGCAACTAGAGACAGCCGTGCGCTGCAACGAAGACCCAATGCAGCCAAAAATAAGTAAATAAATAAAATAAAATAAAATTACTTAAAAAAAAAAAAAGAAAAAAAACACATGGTGTGAGGGTACACGCGACCGCTGGGGCCTCTCCTTTTTCCTTCTGGAATCACACCCAAAGCTTGGGCCCTATGCAGAGTGAGAAACCCACCAGGCCAGCAGAGCTCAGGACCATGGTCCACTACCTTTTAGGCTGCTGGAGGAGAGGGGGCAGTGTCATGTCAGTCTACATCCAGGCTTTTAGACCCTGTTTGCTTGCTGCAACATTTACACTACCTGGTTACCAGTGGTATTTTTCTTTCTTTGAGACTGGACTTACTTAATTTGTCAGTGCAGCAGCCTAGCCATGGCTAACCAGAAAGACATTGAGTAAAAGCTTAATGACAGAGGTCAGTAGCATTAAGTCACTGCTGAAAGCCATGGAAAAATTTAACCAGCTTATGTAGCTGGTAAAGGCTAATGGAAATAAAATGCTAAAAACTTGGGCTTCCCTGGTGGCGCAGTGGTTGAGAGTCCACCTGCCCATGCAGAAGACACGAGTTCGTGCCCTGGTCCGGGAAGATCCCACATGCCGCGGAGCAGCTGGGCCCGTGAGCCGTGGCCGCTGAGCCTGCGCGTCCGGAGCCTGTGCTCCGCAACGGGAGAGGCCACAGCAGTGAGAGACCCGCGTACCACAAAAAAATAAATAAATAAATAAAAATTAAAATTAAAACCTATCTGATTTCTAGACTGTGCTTCCAACTCAACCATTAAATTTGCTAAATGTTTCTTTTATACCTCTGGTCTTTATTTATAAAAGTGAAATCTCTTTTCTCCCCCATAAGGTCTTAAGCCGACTTAGGGTAGCTCACTATTGGCATCTGACCCTTCAATGTGAAATATTCTTAGAAAATGAACTGTTACCCATAAACTCATAACAAATTTTATAAGAAGAAAAGACTATGATTTTATTTTCAGATTTTTGGAAATAGTTTTCAAAAAATAAAATGACAAGAATCCATACAAAAACTGAAATCATTCACCGAACTATGAACTCTTAGCCGAGGAAAAGGCTTTTGAAGTACATCTGAAAACACGGATCACTTCCAAAATGTCCCTCATCTCACTTGTGCGACCAGCCTCCTCAAATCCTTCCCAAATTTGATGAACTTCATCTCATAAAAGTAACACAAACCACTTTTAATCATTGAGAACAAAAGAAAGAACAAAATACAGGAGGCAGGCCTCTCAAGTTACATGCTTTTAGAGAAAACGCACATCCTTGGAGCAGCTTTGTAATATGCAGAGCGCAGTACTGGCTTCAAAAAAAAAAAAAAAAGGCTCTTTACTTGCATTATTTAAATGTGAAGAGCAGCTGTCATCTTCATCTATAAAAATTAGCAAGTGATATTCATTCAAGTACATTAATTTCACTGTACTTCATATGGTTTTATACTTAGGATGAGGCTAAAACAAAAACAAAACAAAAACAGCTAGCACAGAGCTATTAATAAAACAAATAGTAATTATTGAGATGTAATCAAATGAAAATCAATCCTGGATAATAAAACAGATTTCTAATTACATAAATAAGTTTACTGAAAATTTCCACTACTGGAAGATCCTGATTACAATAAAGAAATACATATAATGGGAATGGTAAGTAAACGTGATGATTTGGCTCCTTTCTGAAGGTCTAGTGGTCCAGCTGCTGGCCATACGAGTCGCTGCATTCTCAACGAAGTGTGACCAGTTCTTCTGAAGAGGTAGGATGAATGGCAACAGTGTTATCAAAGTCAGATTTTGTTGCTCCCATTTTTACTGCGACCGCAAAACCCTGCAGCATTTCATCACATCCAATTCCCTGCATGTGGATCCCAACCACCTGCGACAGAAAAGACAAAAATCCTTCAAGTAAAAATTTTTATCTCCGTAATTGTATGAGCCAGTTCCTTGTATAAATCTCCTTCTAGGTACACACACACACACTCACACACAAATTTTTTTATCAGGTACACTAATAAATTTTTTATTAGTCATGAGAGATAACTGATATTTTAAAACCTCTAAAAAACTTACATCTCTAATCCCAATATAGCATAACACAGCCTACATGGCCCATGCAGCCCTGACGTCCCTCCCCTGCCTACCTCACTCAGCTCTCCCCACTCTGGACTCACCAGCTTTCCTCCTGTCCTGAGTATTTGCCATGCTCTCCCCTTTGCACAGGCTGTTCCCTCTGTCTGGACACTC